GTTGATTCCGTTGATTCCGTTGATTCCGTGAATTCGATATGCCGCCAAAAGACAACACCTTCGTACAAAACGTCACTCTGTGTATCAGAACAGGAGAATAGATATTTGATAGCGATGACAGATCGTTATTGATATGTTTTGTTTCAGCACTACACTTCCTTTTACGGGTTTGTTTGTCAGCTCACTGCATAAATTACGCATAATTAGTGGTGTATTAATTATTGTGATTGGAGGACCAGTCAAAACTATAGGGATTTGGGATCAAATTGCAAGATCTCAACATGGCGGATATCGGATTGGACGGCGTTCAAGTTTCGATTTTCCTACGTGCTAGTTCAGTCATCATCTCACGGAATCAACTCGGAACAAGTGAACAAAACTCTTCAGCTTTTAACTATTTCTATGAGTACTCCAATTCGCCGAGGTTTTGAATTTCTTCTTGAAGGTTTTCTGAGTAATTGGGGACCTTATTTGTGGGAACTGTTGCTCTTTTGCCTCGAGAAAACAGCATTTGGTGGGCTCTATTTGTTGGGAATCGTGATGGACGACGACGTATTCCTCGATGCTCCAAATTCTAGTGCTATAAATGGCGCTCACAGTAATCCATCAAGTCCAAATGAGAAAATAGAGATGAGAACGCTGGATGGAGATATGGTTCGTTCACTGTCTGTCCCAGACGTTTCTCACGACCAAAGAGTTATGGACAAATCCAAGGCTGCACAACCTTCCATTATTCATTTCTTTGCGAACTTTGTTAACCGGAAGGCTGTTAAAAAACGTGACACGGACGAAAAGGCTAATAACGTTAACGTTAGACATAAAATTGGCCGAGGACATGGCTTCGTTCCCTTCCAGCTTCGTAATCCAACGTGGTGTGACTTTTGCGGAGAATTTATTTGGGGTTTTTACAAGCAGTGTGTACGATGTAAAAGTGAGTATATATTCTTCATAGAACAATAGATTAGACAGTTCTTCATTCCAAGGTGTCTTCTTTTAACTCGAGCCATCATAAAACCTGTGAACACACTTACGACAAGTGTTATTAGAAGGTTATTACCAACAAAATGGAGGCTAGAAGCTTCAAACACCTTCAAATAACACTAAAAGCATTCTAAAACTATTTAAAAACTGTTTCTTGCAAATTTTTATTTCAAGCTAACAATCAAACTTTTTGATTTTTACTTTCACTAATCTCATACGTAGTCTACAAAACCATTACTTATGAATTTTACGTTACCGGAAGAACATTTACCCATACAAGCGTACCTTATTGACACAGTAAGAGAGATTGCGGAACTAAGCTAGTCTTTACTAGTGTTTTTATCTCGTAAAATTAGGTTGCTGACAATATATTTTAGCGTGTTTGTCAGCATGATATCACTTACAGTATAGCTACTTATTAACTTTACCAATCATTTTAAGCCAAGATGGTTTATTTTTTTTCATCAAAATTTGTGTATAAATTAGTAAGCTAGTGAATAACTAAATCTCCTAAAAATGTTTGTATATATTATAGTCATGCATATACTGTGTCTATATCTATAGATCAAGCTTTTGTATATCTTTTCGTTTTCTCCTATTTAATGCCATTAGAATGTAAGGGAAAGAGAATCTGTACACTGGATATTTTGTAGCTCTTATATACTGAAATGGTAGTGTAGTTATAAATAAGTTATGATTTTTGGGAGGTTTTTAATTTAGCTAAAAAAAACTTGCTATCTCTAATCACCACCACAAAGTACAGTAGTAGTACGTGCAGCTCAACAGGATTGAACTGAAAGCATGTGAAAATGCCTCTGGCAGCCACTATACAGTCCGTGTATGACCCTGGGCGCGGTTGTACCAAGCCTGGATAGCGCTATCTGGCGGATAAATCCTTATCCTATGGATAAGTCGATGCTGTTATCCAATGAATTTATCCACTGGATAAGAATTATCCGTTGGATAGCACTATCCAGGCTTCGTACAACAGGCCCCTGGAATACAACTCTTACTAGTTTGAATTAGCTAGGATTGATTTGAGAGGAGGGAGGAAAAACCGGAGGGCCAGAAAAACCCTCAGAAAGAGAACAACCAACTCAGCTCACATTTTGCGACTGGGATATGATCCTGGACCTCAGAGGCAAGAGGTGAGCATTTTACCACCACACCATCATTTTAGAGCCTGTTCGTACATGGTTCTTGGGCATGATGATCGAGAGTACAATTCTTGCTGGGCACTAATGTGGCCACAGCTTATTTTGAATTATACCCATGCCAAAATTAAGAAACAGATACTGAGGTTGATGTACAAGGTTTGGACCTTGTACTTGGTCACCAAGCTAGTGTTTAAGCACTATGAGTATATAATGAGCATACTCTTTGACTTTGTGACTTTATTACTTATTGGCTAAGAGCATAATTATATTCAGCCAATATCCCTGATAGTGAGTCAACTTGACATCATAAATGTATTATCTGTAGATTTTTCTGCAGATAATACTTCTGTATCATGTCAAGTTGACTCAAGATCACAATCAAGATTGAAATACTTTTGCTTTTGATTGAAAGCAGACTCAAACCTTCTTTCTCAGCTCTCAAAATGACTAATGAAATGATTATTGAATTCAGTCTTGCATTATATTATACATTATGAGGTCCATGGACTCGTAGCCGAGACCTTTATTTACCCAGCTATAATTTACAATATCAAGTTATACTCAACTTTTCACAATAACTGCATGTTTAACATTTATAATCAAATCTTTCATAATTAAGTTGGGGGAGGGGTCCACTGATTTTAACTTATTGATCTGAAATGGCATTCATTTTTTTCTAACTCAATCAAAAATTAGAAGATAAATATTTTAGCATAAATCAAAAAATTAGTACAATAGTTGCAGAACTCAACATAACAATATATGATATATGTACTTTTTCATTTCCTGTAGGGCTTAAAGATACTTGAAATTATCTCTTGACAGCTTGGCATACCTAAAGGAATTAGTTATGTTCAGCATTAAACATTGTTTGCACCTGCTAAGTTATATTCTCATCTCATTGGTTGTTTCTGCAGATACTTATTCATTCATTAATTTATACAAAACTGACATCATTTAATAGATATGCATAAGGTCAAGGACCAATACACATTGGTTTTGAATCCTCCCAAGTTCAAATCAAATGCTTTCCTCATATGCTTTCTCTTTTACTCCGACGAAGGACTAGCGTCCRAAACGTCAGTAAGTTTTTTCATCTCTTCATATAGTGTATGATTTACCTTTATCATTACTGCTTTCCTTATAGCAGTATAAGAAAATTGAACAAACATTGTATTTCAATGCCAGGAGTAAAGCAGAAATTCCAGTAATAATAAACACAACTTATCATCCTGTATTTCTGCAGAGGTAAAAATATTCATTAGATTAATGAATTTTTGTTTGTAATCGTATTTGAATGCTCAAGTTCTGTTTTATCATTGTGAAATATTCGATTTGGACTTGTGTGTTTGAATTTTTCTAAAATAATAACACAGTTTCTTGTAGAATCCATCTTTTTCTTAGATTTTCACAGCATATCTAAGACATAGCTTAAAGATTCACTTAAKTATTGTTGTTTTGACTGAAATCCTGTGACAGTGAAACCTTTGTATTTTAAATTAATATGACATAATGAAGTATGACGTTCCCCCCCCCTCTGTTTTCAAGGAACATTGTCTGTATTTAACTATTCAAGGATATTTAGAGTCAAAAAAAGATGGGAAATTCAAGCTTTTTTCTAATGCCTTTTATGCAGCACTTTGATTTTTGAAGCTTCATATCAGTGCTATTGAATATTAGGTGTGCCTCAGACGTTTGAATATGATTTAACTCTACACTGCACATATTTATTATCTTATTAACTTAAACACAAGTATTTTAAAATCTTATGTTTTTTAAATGAACAAAACTGTCACAAGTTCTGTTGCTCCAAACAAATTTTACTTGCTTATATTTAAGGCAGAATTTTTGTTAGAAATTATTAATTATAAACACTTGATTATTTCTTATTACCATGAAGTCTAGTCATTAAAAAAACCATATATGATGAATACAAATATAGTATTTCATTCTTAATTCAATAATATTTTTCAGACATTTTGAATTGATACAGACACAATAATAGTGGACAATCTGTATGAGCATTAAAAATGGCAAACTGGAAGCGAGTTGTTTTTAAGTCAATACATATTGAACATGAATACTGTATGTTGAATATCAAGTGCCGAGTATAATTTTATAATATAGTATTTCATTCTTAATTCAATGTTTCTCAGACATTTTAAAGTGATAGAGAAACAATAATAGTGGACTCTATATGAGCTTTGAAAATGGCAAACTGGAAGTGAGCTGTTTTTAAGTTGATACATATTGAACATGGATATTGTATATTTAATATCAAGTGCCAAGTATAATTTTAAAGTGAAAATCCATGTTGAATGAGTGAGGACGATTTTGTATCCAATGTACAAACTTTTCCTAGTTGATGGTTTCTATAGTTGTGATTTTCCTTATTTTTATTCATAACTTTCACAATATTGAATATCATTTTGATCTCCACAGATAAGTGTGATTACTAATAATATCAATTATTGATACTTTGGAGTTGATAACAAACCAATATAACCAATATAATATTTTTAATGGTTTAACTTCAGTACTTGATTGGCTTAATGAAATTTTGGATCCTGTATTTCGTTTGACGTATGGACGTTTGACATGGAAGTTTTTCTTTAAATTGAAGACCGAGCCTAGCCAACTTTGGAAGCACTTAAAAAAAGTCTTATTCACAGAAACTCTTTTAATTGCCACTTATATTTTTATATTCATATTAATGATATTTATTATTGTTATTATTATTATTTTATTTTAATATTAGTGTTAGTATGAGCAGTATTATTATTTAATTATAAAAATTCAGTAACCATGGTTTTCAAATAAATTATTTTGGAAAACATGCGTCAGCTCCAGAGTTTCCACTTGTTTATTATAATTAGCTACCAGGAGTCTTGACTCTGCTTATGTTAGTATATGTAATAGTCTGTCGTTTTACTGAAAAGCTTAAACCTCTGTTCCAGAATGTAAATATACCTGCCATTGGCGATGTCATGGAGAAATAGATTTAGATTGCATAGGAGCGTGGCCACAGATAGAAAGAAATATGTCCATTGATGAAGTTAGTATGAAAACACTGCATCTTTTGGAACAGGTAAGCTTGTCATGATGGTGCATTGCCTGGCTAGTCTTGCTCAACAGAGTGATTTTGCTCAAATGGTAAAACAGTTTCTTGTCATTAGTGCATATTGATAGTAAACTAGACACTAAAGGAAACAATGGAAATAAGATCTACTAACCTCTCTTAGTATACTAACTATTTCATGGTCTGAGGAAAAAGCACTTTAGTAACTTAATTAATTGTGCACACTGTGTTAGCTACAATCACAAAATGTGTTTTAGGAATTTTGGAGAGAGGAAAGGGGAGAGCCCAGAGAAAAACAAGAGTCAAGCAAGAGACCTAACCAGCTACTAAGCATGCATGCGCTGGGAAGTCTAACAATCAAACCTGATCTTAATAATGAAAGCTATACTGTTTAGGCTTTCCCACTATTGAGCATAAATTCATCGTTGTTCAGGGTTTTCATTAAATTTTGAAATGATAGGAAAAGATTATGAACACAGAGTCTAAGTGAATATTTTACTAATTACTAACCTATAAAGGGTAGTTAAAGCCAGAGAATTTTGCTCAATTACTGAAGCATTTTCCGATCCCCAACCCTTAATGAAATCCCTGATTGTTGGTAAAACGTACACTGCACAGCGTATTCGAACCACTCAGTGATCATCTTTTTAATTATTGTTCTTGTTGTTCAATTCTTCCAGAGCGATCAAAAGAGAAATGAACCATACTTGATGATTTCAACAAATATTTCTCATGGAAGTTTGAGAAGAAAAATAGGGGAATTCAATACCCAAACAACTGGTCTCATAATGACTATGGTAAATAAGTACTGGTTATTTTTTTCTTTCCAAGATTGATCTTTAGTGAAGGAATAGGGCAAGCACGAGGTGTATGTTGTAAGCACAATGAATGGACTCTGGTAATTAATATACTGCCCCATGATGGTGTGGTCACAAGTTCCTTCTTTGGACTCATCATCATCATGTCATGCTTGAACACACCATAACTAAAGAAATAAAAACAATTTGCATCCAACACTTCTTCAGTGTTGTGCCAATCCCCAAGTGTTTTATAGCTTCACACATCACAGCAAGAGAGTAATCATTTTGGACACAAGCGATGAAATATAAAGTGCACATGCATGCTGTTTCTCTTATAATGCACACTCTCCTGACCAATCTGAATCTGAGATTTAATTCATAACAGTTATTTCATAAAGGTCTTGTATCTTAATAATTTTTTTCTATTTGTTATGCAGAAAGATGAGACCATTTTCCAGGGATTTGTAAGAGTTCACATGAATTTGTTGCGTCCCGTCAATGTCGTAGCTGGGGAACGTCCACTTTCAATACTTGAAAATGTTGGTAATTCTGTGGACAGTAAGGTAAGAAAGTAAATATTCATCAAAAGTAGATGTCAAACAACAATATTCTAATACATCATGGAAAAATAAAAATACTCTGAAAATAAGGCGCTGCATTGTTGTTTTCTTTCCCATCTCTTTTTTGTGTTTCCACTTTTTAAGAATTACTACATATTATTTGGTCATTATGGAGGAACTAGGAAGTTTAGACACCATATTTGTGCATGTATTGATTAGGGATTTCATGCCCTATATATTGCTGTATCACCTGCCCTACATGTACCCCAGTAACGTGGTGAATTGCCAAATAGATTCTATATATCTCTTTTGTTTTTAGAGATCAAGAACATCATTCTTCCTTCCTCTTGGAACAGTAAAAGCATTACATGTTAAGAGTGATACTACAGTACAAGAGGTAGGTTTTTGGGATATACCATTTGACTTACTTTAGTTTTTTTTCATCCAGTCAAAGATTATATTATCTTGCTGACTGCAAGACTTTGGAGTAGGTGGTCAAAAGTCTGAATCAGCTGGCTGGGATCCAATATATTAAAATGATAACAAATTTTTTTATAGAAAAGAAAAAGTAGCCGGCGGTTGCCTGCCAGCTAGTTGTGAAAGCCCTGCGACTGATTATATTGACTCTAACCAAATTGCCACATTCCTTAAAAATATCTGTTTGCTGAATTTAACAATGCTGCATCTTGGTTATGATTCAGTATAATATTTTCTATTTAGCTGAGATGGTCAGAATTTATGTTGGCAGAACATCTTTTATTACAGGCTTATAATTAAGTTACTCCTGAATTAACCAATGATATTTTTGATATTTTTCTCTTATTCTCTCTATTTCATTACACACACTGAACGCATAATTTATTACTACTATACCTGAATTAACCACATAATTCCAAATGGATACAGTGACAATTTGTTATCATGATGTACAAAGACATCTTTATTATTTTCAGCTAATTTTTCCCCGGTCATTGTTCTTACCTTCTGAAACTGAAACTTTCAGTTCTACAGCTGTGCATGATTGTCAGCATGCTCTGATTGAGTTCATACTTCCTGCTTTTTGCTAAGTGTCAAGCTTGTCATGTTACCATTTTCATGTTACTAATTTGTTTACTGTCTCAAGTTTGTGTTGTTAACAATTTGAAAAGCGAGACAGGAAACCCACTTAATCAATTACTCAAAGTGTATGGTAAATTTATTAATTCACACCTTCATATTTCTTTTATGTTTAAGAAAAGACTTGGGTATCATGAAGATTGAATAATAGTGACCATTAGATCCGACAATGAGTACAAGAATGTATGAGTTTTAAAATTATTGGTCCATGCATGTCGTTAAAACTGAATCGTAGTTGTTTTCCGACTTTTTACATTCCAAAACTTTTAATCTCAGACACAGCTGCAACTTTGAAATGATAGTATCAATTTTAAAGGTTAAAAACTTGTACTCCTACTCGTCTTCAGAACTAAAAATCTGTTTCTTTTCAGGTTATTGAAGCATTACTTAAGAAGTACAAAATTGCTGATAATCCAAGAAAGTTTGCGCTCTTTGAAAGCTACCAAGAACAAGACAATCATGGTACAGTTAATGTTTAAATATTTACGGTTCATACAGAAATTAGGTTTCGAAATTTAAATGTGATTCAAAGGACTAAATAGAGTGTTGATAGGGTGTTGGTAGATGGTCAGTAAGGTGCTGGTAGGTGGTCATAAGGGTTTTGGTAGGTGGTCAGTAGGGTGTTTGTATGCGGTCAGTAGAGTGTTGGTGGGTTGTCAGTAGGGTGTTGGTTGGTGGTCAGTAGGGTGTTGGTAGGTGGTCAGTAGGGTGTTGGTAGGTGGTCAGTAGGGTGTTGGTAGGTGGTCAGTAGGGTGTTGGTAGGTGGTCAGTAGGGTGTTTGTAGGTGGTCAGTAGGGTGTTGGTGGGTTGTCAGTAGGGTGTTGGTAGGTGGTCAGTAGGGTGTTGGTAGGTGGTCAGTAGGGTGTTGGTAGGTGGTCAGTAGTGTGTTGGTAGGTTGTCAGTAGGGTGTTGGTAGGTGGTCAGTAAGGTGTTTGTAGGTGGTCAGTAGAGTGTTGGTGGGTTGTCAGTAGGATGTTGGTTGGTGGTCAGTAGGGTATTGGTAGGTTGGCACTAGTGTGTTGGTATGTAGGTGGTCAGTAGGGTGTTGGTAGGTGGTCAGTAGGGTGTTGGTAGGTTGTCAGTAGGGTGTTGTTAACGTCACCCTCTTTAAATAAAGTTTATTGATTGATTGGGATGTTGCCATAGTTGTATAAGATGTAACAATATTTATGTGTTTTTCTTATAACAGTCATCCTTCGTAGAATGTCCGACGTAGAGAAACCATTAATGCTTAGGCTATTATGGGGTGGAGCAGACATAAAGCATTCTTTTTCTCTACAAGAAAATGAGACAGGAGATATTGTGGTAAGTGCTGCCATTAACTGCAGTCTTATTCCAGTTTCTCCAGAGGTCGATAAAATATAAAGGCTTTTAATTTGAATGTGACGTGGGACCTACTTTAATTGCTCTTTGTTCTGTTTGCAGTGGGAAGTCTTCAGCACTCCAGAACTAGAAAATTTTGTTAAAATTCTTGAGAAAGAGGAAGAAGAACACATTGCCATGGTGAGTTATTATTTTAAACACTTTTAACTGTCTTTAACTTATTATTATTATTTTTGCATTGACAGCTTTTTTGGAGGGGGGTGGGTGGGGCTGTGGTTGAGGTAGTTTTCATGCCTGTATACTTCTCATATTTTTAGCATATGAAGGGGATAAAGTTGTAGAAGCATAAGAGGATGTTTGCATGATGGCATCATTTGACTCCCACTACCAAGATGCTTTGCAAATGTTCTTTCTTTTTTAAATTAGTATTCCCTCATGAGAATAGTAAGACAATTGGTGCTAATTAACTGAACAAAAGAAGGTGTGCAATGGAGTCGGGTAGTAGAGATAAATGATGCCATCATGTAAACATCCTATTATTTCAGTTTCATTATTTCCCTTTAGCCTTTTTTCATACTCAAATCATTGCTATAATTAAAAATTAGGTGAGAGAGAAGTACAGAATTTTCAAAGAAAAACTTCAACAAGAAATGAAAGAGCTAGGAATATTAGTTCCAACAGATGAGAAAGCCACTTCTAAATCCACAAACAACAAAGATGACAGTACAGAGTCGGCTGCATAGGGTTACAATATACTATTCATAATCCCTTCAAATGGTCATAGTAGGGGTCTGCTTCTACAATGTTGCATACGACAAGTTCATCATGAACCACAACCACACTGGCAATATGGCCCGATTCTCTTGGTATAAATGAAATGTAGCTATTTCCAATGCTGCTGACCAGGATTCTGCATTGTGTGTAACATTCCTAAGTTCATACTTTTGTTGCAGCAAAAGTTGCTACACATGGCAAACATCCCTTGGAAACTATTTCAACAGCAGTGTTGGATAGTTTTGCTTAGGGATAAATGGAATTGGTTTAATAGTAAGTAGAGGCATTTTTTACTCTACTGACATACCAAAGCCGGTCGGGTGAAGGTGCCAGGACCAAAATCCATAAATAGCTGTATATACAGGAACACAGGAATGAAACATGTTCTAGTTTAACGTGTTAACTATTCTGTAGAGTTCTAAATAAGAATGACACGATAGAGTGAGGGCATTTAACCTGTGAAATAATTACTTGTCAACGTGTAATAGTCAAATAGACACAAAAGAAAACAATGAGTAATAGCCAAATATCTATTTCACAGGTTTAATGACTTCACTCTAATGAAGCAATTATTTTATTTACTTTGGTGTGAATTTTGAAGTTCAAAAAGAATCTTTCTAAGTATTTCATTTCCCAAATTATGAACTCAGGTGATTATTAACGTAGGCGTGAAGGAGTATTTTTCAAATTGAAATATTTCACATAAAAGGACAAAATATTTATAGAAAATTCAGCTTGATTGTTGTATTCGATGTAATTATTTTAAATATCACATTTAAAGCAGCATGCTATTGTTTTTTTCAAATAAATAACAAGGGTAGATGATAAGATGATAGAGCTAAGTACAGTGACATTGCCCAAATAAATGGAAAATGAAAACATTAAAATATTGACTTCCAAAATACCAATCAAAAAGCTTCTAAATAATTGAGTGTGATAAGATATGGCAGACCTCTGATTATGGTGATTAGGTGTTTAATTAAGATAGGTAAATTCCTTTCTTCCGTATCATTTTGTACTGGAGCTGCGCTGCAGTAATGCTTTTGAGCATGACAATGGCAAGTATATTGTAAACAAGTATTTGCAATGCTTTACTTCAGCTGGAGCTGCTTGTTCAAAATATGGATCAGATTTTGTTTCAGCTGTTAAAATAGGACTTACGTCACTAGTAGCATAGTAGCAGAAGCAACAATAACAGCAGCAACAGCAGCACTGACAACAGCAACAAAAACAACAGCAGCAGAAGCAACAGCAACAGCAGCAACAACAACAGCAGCAGCAAAAACAGCAGCAGCACTGACAACTAACAGCAGCAGCAGAAACAACAACAGAAGTATCATATAGCAATTCAATTCAATTCAATAAAAATAAATGATGAACTTAGTAGTATCACATTCTGCTCAGAAAGTGATTCAGTTTCATTGCAATGTAGGATGACAGAGGCAAGCTCCTGCTTAGTGACTGCATACCAGTAATCCATAAACTTACCACTCATTAATCTGTAATATATATTTAAATACTTTTGTCAATGCAATCTGCATCACCAGGACGATCAGTTCTCCCAAGAAAATAATAATCTACACATTAATTTCAATAACACTTTTGTATATATCGATACATTTGATGCAAAATACCCAAATAAAAAGGTAATGATGTAAAAACTGATTGTTATTGACCAACTGATAATGATTTTAATACTCTGGATTACTTTGGGATACATTATAACCCATGATTTTTTTCCTATTACTTTGATGTTTTATTACGATGACTAAATGTTTCATATATATATTAGATGGAATAGATCTCTTTACGTTGGGCTTAATGTGTCCTAATATTTCAAACCATGTGTCATTTGCTTGGGATTAAGATCCTTTGCTTCACTTGTTCCCATATACATGTATCTTTTCACATGCAACCATTACATTACTAGTCTGAAATGGTCAAAACATTATCCCCAAACTAAAAAGGTCTTTCATAGATGTTTTAACTTGTTTTGTAGGAATTTTAATAATGGTGCATAAGTGATGTATGCTTATTTTGGTACACTTGTCATCTGTTTCTATGACCAAGACTGGCTCAGACATTTTCTAAAGTGTGGGTCAGGAAATATTCACCTTTCTGAAGTTCATACCGTTCAAATGATTTAATTTTCATGATGAGATAATATCATTCGGACTTATAGCATTGTATTATTGTACAGAACATGTACAATACTCCTTTTTACAGTTCCATTCAGTGACCACGAATAATAGTTCCAAGTCAAGGCTGGAGTTTCGGCACATGATAAACTGTAGTTTTGCTATGCGCGGAAACTCCAGCCTCGGCTAGGAACTATTATTCATGGTCACTGAATGGAACTTTAAAAAGGAGTATTGACATGAGGGACAGACTTTGACAATAACAACTCTATATCACAATCCTTTTCATGCATATTCATGATGAGATTATCATTCTCCTATGTAGGATTCTGTTGTACAGACCATGTGCCATTCACATGATGGCAAATAGACTTTAAATAAATGTTGCATTCAATTCTTTGAAAATAAAAGGTTGAAAATGATCACTAGATAACCTAACATCAGGACCATGCTTTGCACATTACAATTGGAAAATCTACATGAAGTCTGGGATATGGCAAATCAACTACTCCTTGAGGCGAAAGTCTTTCTGTTAAGAGCCTCATTCCTGCTTTTTCTCCTTGTTTAGTTGGCTTTACTTCTTCATAAAATTCATGTGCTAAGTCACCATCGTCATCAAAATACATAGACCTATTAAAGAAAAATAAATAACGGCTGTAGCACAGAGTCATTTTATTTGGCCCATTAAACCAAGTTGTATATAAATAGTCACAATCAAAGTAAAACAAAAGAAAACAATGGAATTAGTGTCTGCTACTATGTATTACGTGGACTATTCTTTCATGGGCCAAGTAAAAACACTCTACTATGACTGCTTTGAACAGGAACACCATATCTATAACACTTCCGCATAAAGAATTTTAAGCCTTATCAATGTGTAGTTCCAGAAATTATCCATACCCCACCAATGGAGGAAAGTGGGAATTTTGGAGGGGAGGGGGATCAGATAAAGAACAAAATTACAAAGTTTTTAAGGAAGAAAATTGCAAGTTCCTGGGGGTAGGGGGGTCCTTTTACAAATTTCCTCAGTGGTGGGATATGGATATTTTCTGGAACTACACAATGCTAGCCTGCTATGTACGGTTCATGTATGGGTATGGTTCTGCAGTTCCCGGCCAACCAAGTATAGATGACATACTGAATCTGTCAATCAAAACCTCCAGTTTCTCCTCCTTCAGGGAGTATCTGGACACAGTTGTCACAGTTTTCCCTTACTTCCCAAGGAATGATAACTATGCATTCACCCTTTCTATTTAACTGCCATCAAAAATTAAAATGAATGCCCCTTGGGGAATTCCATTGTTTACTGATTAGTGGAGGGAGTGTTTTTTATGAGGAGGGGGGATGGGGGGAGGGCTTGTCACTAAAAACAGGGGAGAGGTATATAATTTGTAAGAAGGAATTTGATTTGCACAACACTTATTCAATAAACCGAATAGAAAAAAATGGAGGAGTCATTGTTTATGGAACAAGTGAGAGGGGAGTTAGATTTATTGTATGCGTTAAAATCACTAACCAATCTAAGATCACTAACTAATCCTACTGACCCCCTCCCCTAAGGGAGTAAACTCCCTTAGTAATGGCCGAAGAAAAGGGAGAAGTACCAAATGATTGATGCATCAACTATGCATCATGATTGAATTGATTACAGTAGCAACATATTTGAACAATTAATTTTAAATACTGGCACATAACATTTGCATTGGTGCTGTTTTTTAGGATACAACTTCAATAGTATTATAATCTATTCTATTAAAAAGAATTTAGAAAAAAACAATTCAAGTTAACATAAAGAATGATAAATAAAAGCGTCCGATCTGAATCTTACCCGGTTCTTTTCAATATCAATGGCATCGCTTTTCTCTGAAATGTCTCCGATCCTGTAATAGCTTTGTTATTTGTACTGCATCCTATCATATACTGTACACCTTCATACACTTGAGACACGATTGCTCCCATATTAATGACTGTTTTAAATCAATTTTCGATCATATATTCGACATATTTTCTTACATTTCTCAAGGTTGTTTTTTGATTTTTTGTTTTGGCAATCTAAGCCAGGTTACATAGCTTGCCGCATAGCATTATGGGTTTTGCAGAACACACAGGAAGCCCATCCTCGCACTCACAAGTTTTGATTCTATTTTTTGGTAAAATATTACATAATTTTATAACTTTTAGAAAATTTCTCATTACGTATGTAGAAATATCCAATAAAAACGTAAAGTAATGTCGATATAAAAAATGGGACGCTCTGAATTGTAGTTTTACGAAAAGGGCGGGAATATGCCGCGTGACCTCCGCGTGACTGGAAGTACCGGCGCGCGCGAGGTTTGTGTATGAAGAACATTTTGCCGACATTGTTGTTCAGGCGGACTTGGTATCTATTTATAATTTTGAAGGCCAAAGATGCAACGTTTTTACATTCCAGAGCTGGAAAATTAAGCCAGTTTATTAGGAGAATTGAGAATGTAGGAGGTAGAAAGCTCTTACACACAGGCTGCTTAGTATTTACTGATTTAGAGGTGAGTAAATTATGTTTGGACGAACTGGTTTTCGTAGGGTTGTTAAAACGAAATTGTTCTGAGATGAATTTTATTTGAAGTGATAGGACACTTAACTTAACTTAATAAATAATTTATGGGTTTTAAAAATAGAATTATAGGGACACATGGACATCATCATTTATTTTTATTTCAGTGATATAAGCTAACTCCTGTGAATATTTATACTTATGAAGGTCGTAATAACAGTGCTAGTTGGTGCTTACAAACGTTAGCATTGTGCAGGGACGGCGGAGCAGTTTTTTTATTGGGGGGGCTCAATAGTGACATTGTATGGCAAGGTGGGGGGGGGGCTGAGTTTAGTGAAAATGTATTAAAAGTTCCGCCGTCCCTGTTGTGATGTTAAAAAGCCTGAAGCGAGATGACGTTTTACCCCCGTCTCTAGACCATAATCCTTTTCACATTGCCTTTGTTCTTTGATTATGACTATTGTTCCTGTATTCTCTAAGGAATCAAAAATTTTAATATGAAAGAATTTAAAAAACTATTATGGTATAGAGTCGGGGGTAAAACGTCATCTCGCTTCAGGCTTATTTGACAACCATTGTCACAATAGTTTTTGTGATGTTGCTTTGTTTTATCAGCGAATCTATATCTGGTTGGCATACATTCATCAGGAGTTCGGCACTACTGCTCTAAGCGCATGCTCAAGGGATCAATGTATATGAATGGCATTAATATAAACCTTGGGGAGGGGGGGGGGTACTCCCACATATGGACTATACGGGGATGATCCACTGAACAGGGTATGGTTTTTTTGAGCTTCTTGTCATAAACAGGGTATGCAATTTCACTCAAGTTCAAGGTTCTTCCTGAGTTTCCTGACATACTCAGGGTTTCTACCGAAACTGGTTATTAAGGTCGTAAAAAACGATACACAAAACCTACTAATGGTCTATCAAAAATCTCGCACTCTGATTGGCTGAGCTACTAGTGGTCTATTAGTGATAGACCACTATAGTAGCAAAAATTGCCGATTTAAAATGGAAAGAATGTAAGAGATAAATCATTTTGACAAATTTCATAAATTGTTTGTTTGAGGTTTTTGGCCTCATGGTCTATTGACTCGTACACCATTTGGACTGTGGTTTATTAGTTTATGTCATAGCAAATAGCACTATAATGACCAAGGGAGATCTAGGATTTTGGCTGTGGGGTTTAGAGCCACTGATATTAAGAATTGACATAATGAAATGAAAAAGAATAATAAATGTATAACAATGACTGTAATTTTGTGACAGGCTGGCATGATTTAGGGATCTTTGTTTCCAATTAGGTTTATGTTTGGCCCTACCCACTCAACTCCGTCTTAAACAGCAATTATTATTGCTGGCAATTTTGCAGGCAATTTAAAGCTATTCACATGCATATCCATGAGTTAGTTTTGTTTTAATACTAATCATGTGACCTCCTGCATTTGTCCCTCCCCCCCAAAAAAACCCAGATGTCTTATATTCCCCCCTCCTTGTTTTTTCTTCTTTCTACCCCTTTCCCCTCTACCACACCCACCCCTCCCYATTGATGTTGTAGGTGTTGAGTACAGGTCCAACAAACAGACCCAATAGACCAATAAGCCCAACAGGCAGAATAGGCCCAACAGGCACAATGTTTGGCCTGTTGGGTTGTTGGGTCTTTTGGGGCTGATTAATTCTTAGGGAACTAAAATCTGTTAACTAGTGTATCCTTCCTTAAAATATTTCACCCAAAATAGATATATATTCTTAATTAAATAAGGAGTTTTTATTTAAACAAATGTATACCACTTCTTTATACAATTAGAAATTCTTAAATATACAGTCAATGCAAAGAAGTTAAACAATAAGAAATRTAACATGATACCTAATACACTTATTCATTGTTACTCATATTATAAAGTTTAAAACCAGAACTTATATCATTTAAAACATGATATCATGTGACCTAATTAATTTTTTTTTWAATCTGGAAAACGATAATTACATTAACTGTATCTTTTAGTAAAACATATGTTTTGGTTTCTTATGAAAAAATACTTTACTAATTTTTTTGTACTTTTCATTTTTCATAGTCTTGGACATTTCAGCTCACCACTGGTACCTTATAAGACAGTTCTGAGGTAAGTTTACAATTRTTTTCTTGCAGCCTGTTACCACATCTGTGGTAACTGTTTGGTTTTTTACTTGACTAGCTTTTCAAGTAGATTCAATGTCTATTGAAAATGGTCGTCATATTAGTTTAAARTAATTGTTAAAATAGGGTCATTGATAAACTATTTAATTCTAAAATATTTGAAAGAAAGAATAAAACTCTACATCATGGAAACCTAATCTAAAATCGACTGTTGAAGTTCTAAATCTATGAAATAATTTTACKCTTGCATAGGCTCTTGTGCAACAGCAGCAATGAAATCCTTCCTATTMTATCCTATCCATTATTGATAGTTTCACCATTAAACCAGATTTTCTGACCAATCTTAATGACAATGT